TGAGCAAGTGGGTGTACACAGAAGAACCACTTGTTCTGTTGTGTTGTTCTTTTTCCCCTATGGTTTTACCAAGTAGATGAATCTTGAGACAGACTTGAAGAGCTTGAGCCAAGAACAGAAAAAAATTGGTGAGGAGATGAGAATAAAATTTTCGGTCATGTCTCTGTCAACTTAATATTCTAGACAGTGTTATCCAAAAGAAATATAATATGAATCACATGTGTGATTTAAAATTTCTCATTAACTACACAAAAGAAATTAAAAGCAAACAGAAGAAACTAATTTTATTAATGTATTTCATCTAACCAACCAAAATATTATCATCCTAACATCTCAAGAAGAAATAAAAATATATCATTCTAGAATTGATATAAACTATAAATCAACATAAAAATAATGGTATATTTAAATTTCATCTTTTGATCATAGGCTCAGGATATCTGAGACATCATTCGGTCTCAAAGCACATGTCTGGTTGGACTGGTCTCATTTCAAGTACTGCGAACAACACGTGCTTGTGCCACTGTGTTGCAGAAAACACGCTTACTGGAATTTGGGACATCAGATAGAAATCACTGCTGGCCTTTAACTGCCTGATATACTTGTGATAGCTTCCTTCTGCAGGCTCTTTCTCAATCTTTCCGAAGAAGCTATCTCAAAGGCCACATGATTACATTATCAAATCATTTGGTGCCTTGGATTAAAATATCAACGTGGTAACCTTGGACGAACTGCCTGGTTTCTCCAATGGTCAAACAGAGCTAATTTACCAAACCACAGGGAAGAGCCAGGGACAGAGGCAGAACGTATAGTGCACAGATAGGAACCGAATACTAGAGTTTCTCCTCTTCAAAGGTCCATCCCAGTGTACTAGAGACTATAGTGCTTCCTTTATCTCATTTCCAGATCTTTCCTTTGAGGATTCTTCTGCTAAGGCAGTTCTTTCCTGAGACCCAAACTGGCCTGGCTTCCTTTAATATATCAGGTTTTAGTGTAAGACTGAAACCTTTTCTGGGTGCCCTAAAGGTGCTCTCAAGTCCCATTTCCCTTCCTATCAGCCTCTCTTTCATTTGCTTCACAGCATTAATCAATATGTGAAAATTGTTTGTGCATTTCTTCCTCTGCCTGGTGTCTATCATCCTGTAGAGCAAAGCTGCCTCCCCCACCCCCAAGAACCTTATCTCTTTTAATTCAGAGATTCGTAAGTGAATGAATGGTGAATGCTTAACACAGAGAGGTAATATAAATGTGTCCTGATTCCAAGTGAAGTTGGAAACAAAGATTCCAGAGCTCCCTTTTAACCTAAAAGACTCAGCAAATCAGAGGCGGTAGGTCCCCCTCACATGCTGAGATGTACTTTCCCTGCCTTGAGTCTAATGGCTGGCTTTAAGGAAGAGTGAGGGACACAGTTCTCCAAGGCAACTGCATTGTTACTGCCTATTAACACATAGTATGTACCAAGCACATAGCCACACACTTAGAACCACGTAGATTTGGTTAATCCTATCCTTTAGATGAAGAAATAGATTAAGACCTAGTTGCATTATGTAATTTTTGAGCACTGGGAAAATTGACTTCACTGAACAGAAAGGAAAAAATGAGGTTTTATAATCTAAGAGTATTTTATTTTGATGGTGAAAACAAAGGTTGTTATTGGAGGGGAAAAAAGTGGGTAAGTCAGAAAAAGGGTGCTTTGGGGTATATCATGATAGATGAAGACTTGAGTTATAGTGAGGAGCCTAGTGTACATACAAACCTCAGTGTAAAGTGCTGTACCCTGGAAGCATATATAATGTTATAAACTTCCATAATAGTTTAATGTTATTTCTAAAACAATTAAAAAAATAAAGAGGAAGTGTCTATGTCGACACACCTGATCTTGGAGTCTGGCTTTTCCTTTTCCTAGCTATGCAGTCTGAACAAACAGTCAGAGAAACTTCTAGAAGCCTCAATTTTCACATGAATCTTGAAACAGTACTTTGTACTCTGCAGTGTTGCTGTGAGAATTACTTTGGGGGAATGTAGGAAAGGACATGGTAGCAGACATCAATACTGCCCTTTTTGTATGCAAGAACATTTTGTCAGCCCACACAGATTGCTTTTTGGAGTGATTATTTTGAAGGAACCTGATTTCCTTTAAAAGTTCTGATATTTCAATTCCACATTTCCGTGGCACCCAATTTCTGCAAGTGAAGGGGTTATGGCGGGATAGGAAAACAGGGAAGGAAAGAAAGCATGAGCCGAGGGGTTAAACCTATGTGAAGACAGATGGAGACACTTCTTTCTACAAAGACAGTTTCTGATATACCTGAAGAGAGACACTGCCATAAGCCTGTTTGTGCCAAGATGGATGTTTGCACCGACTCTAATCTTTGTATTCAAGATTATGAGCTAAAATAGAAAGAGCGGAGAATCCACATTGGTTGGGATACATTCTAGAGCAACAGCGGAGAATCCACATTGGTTGGGATATATTCTACCTGGTGATAACATACTGCACTATGCTTCACGGAGATGAAACAATGATCCTGACTCTGGATTCTGAATCCACCACTCACTCAACTTTGAGACTAATTAGACCTGTACAAATTTTACTGCTTTTGCTGATGAAATTCCCATTAGGAGAAAATAAAACTGTTTGGTTTTGTTTGGGGGACACACCTGGTTATGCTCAATGCTTACTCCTAGCCTGTGCTCAGGGATTCCACCTGCTTAGGGGACTATATGTGGTGCTGGGATTTGAACCCAGGTGGGCCATGTCTAAGGCAAGCACCTTTCTCACTGCACTATCTCTCCTATCAAACATGAGACTATTTGATGCCAATTTATAATCTCACATTACTATTAGCAATAGCAGCTTCTTCTCACTGAACTATAAAAAGGGGCACATAATGCTGCTACTTTCATTCTCTTAACAACAGTGCAATGAAAATCTATTTTTCTGTCCATTTTACAGACAGAAAAAGGTGAGGCTCAGAAAAGTCTGGGCACTTGCCAAGGTGCAAGAACCAAGATCCAAAGCCCAGTCTAATGGGATCCAGAGTTACAATGCCTCGCTGCCAGAGGAAGACCCAGGTTCCAGGTTCCATTGCACAAGTCTCTAGTCCCTTAAAGGAAAAGTGCGCATATTCCTACTGAATTGGGTGGGGGGCAATATCCAGGGGAAGGGGGTTAAGAGTGGGGGCGCAAAATGCACTTTGTTGTAGAAGAAAAGCTTGCCCCTAACTGACATGCAGCTTGGTAACAGCTGAAGTGGTCCACAGGTGGCTTCTAGTTTTCAAAACTCCCCAGCAAGGGAAGGGGGGTTGGAGGACCTTGGTCTTATAAGACATGTGTGTTAATGAGGGGGGTCTGCCTGGAGGCAGAGACTGGCAAAAACCCTTGGAAAACAATGTCTTCTGGGCACATTCACAAAGGTGAGTTACCTCCTTTAACAGACTGGCTGACTTCATACCCCAGAAAAGGCTGCAGATCTGGCCAGAGCAGAGCAGAGCAGCGGGCAGGGCTGTCAGCTGAGCGCTGGCTGACCAGCCCTGCCAGATTCTTAAAGGGAAATCTTTTCTTAGGCGAGGGGTGGTCACCTGAGCTCAGAAGGGGTCTTCAGGGGGCTGGCCACAGAGCCTCAGAATTATTTCCACGTTTTTAATGTACATTTCATAAGCAAACTTATGGCCTGGCAGCCAGGAGTCAGAGCTAATTCTCAAAGCCCATGATTCCGACGGTTAAGAGCCACAGCAATTAAACTTTTCACCTGTTTCTTCCTTGTGCTCTTCAGTACTTTTACTATACTATATAGTCACACACATATGCACACACACACACACACACACACACACACACACATTAAATGGATTAATGGATAATTTAAGGAATCTAAAGTCTATTCCTAAAAAATTTCCAAATCCCCTAAATTTGACAAAGAAAATGAGGCTCAGAGAAGGTAAGATTTTTACCCAAGGTTACAAAGCAAGCGGCAGAATTAGAATTAGCAGCACTCCCCTGACAAAAAAGTCAGCGAGTCAGAAGGGAAATCTTTGCCAGCAAGCTCCAAAGAAGACAAACCAACCGTTCCAGCTTATCAATCAATACTGTTTTAAGTCCAGTGGTGGAAGATCCTAAATTGCCTGTGGTTAGGTCAACGCGGGCTGATTCCGTGGGATACAGGTAGAGGTCACTAACAGGATAATTTCCAATTCAGAGAACAAGCACCCTAGTCCCTGTTTTCCCTCCTCGGGGCCTTCTGGCTCCCCAGTGACCCGACTTTGCCCGACTTCGCCTTCCCACTCTGCCTCCAGCGACTTTTCTTTGCAGTCCCTTCTGCCCAGCGGTGAACCAGCTGCTACCGGGCTCGGGGTTAAGGGTGACAGCCCCGAGGCAGCTTACCTGCCAGCACCCCTTCTATTTCCTTTTTCCTGCAGGGGGGAGTCACGCCTGTCGGATCAACGCAAGTGGCACCAAACTTTGCCCACGGGATACCCGCGAGGCTGCGACGGCGGCGGCGGCGGCGGGGAGCATCCCGGAGTCCCGAGGTGCGCCCGCGCCTCACCTGCCCACGCCGGGCCCGGCTCCCCGCGACTCATTTTTCTTTTACCTCTGGACGTAAATCATGTGCATTTCTGGAATCCCGCAAATCAAAGCCCGCAACGCCTTTCCAGGGTGCCCTGGGGGTTTTTCCCAAAGCGGAACGTGTACAGTTGCCAAACAAACAAAAACCTCACGGACCCCCGGTAACCCCCCCCCCCCCAACAAAACAAAACAAAACAAAACAAAACACAAGTGGGGGCTGGCGGAGAGATGTTGCTAGTCTCCCTAGATCTCCCGAGAAGCTCGGGTGTCCCCCCTCAAGCTGGCAGCTGCTCCCGGCGCGTGTCGGAGCAGCGGCCGCCCACCCGCGCGCTCCCCTCGGCGCACGCCGGCCTCGAACCCGCAGCTCCGGCGCCGCGCCCGGCCGCCCGCGCCCGCCGCCCGCCGCCCCGCCGGGCCCGCCGCCGCTTACTCACTTTTGCCCGCGAGCAAAGTCTGCCATCTCAGTCCGGGAGCACTTCCTGCCAAATGTGCAGATCCATGGCGTGGGGTGCGGAGCTGCCGCGCGAGCCGCCGGCAAAATCCAGAATGAGGGAGACGGGAGAGAGTAAGACCGAGAGGCAGGGGGGAGGGGGGAAGGGGCGGAGGAGCCGGAGTGGGAAGGGGGTGGAGTGGGGGTGCAGCCGAGCCCCGAAGACCGTGTCTGGGGATTGCAAGCCTCCGTTCCCCTGTCCCCAGCCCAGTGGCTCTGCAAGAAGCAGCCCAACCCGGTGCACTTGTTCACTCTTTCTTCATTAGAGGAGGAGTCAGTGTTGCAACATTTCTGTTCCTTGCTGGAGGCAAAAACAGTGATTTTCTTCAGTGTGCAAAATGACCAGCGCCTGCCAATTTTACAAGGTGAGGGGGAAGAGCCGGCATGCAGGAGAGAAGCGAAGGAGACATCACCTATTCTCCTCGCCCCGCGTTGGTTTTTCCTGATGAGGGGTAACCCGCGGGGGACGCTAGCCCGTGGCACTTACAAAACAATCATTAAAAAAAAAAATGTCTTCGTAAATGCAATGACCTCAAAGAGGGTATGTGCCCCGTCTGCCAAGATTGTTGAGAGCCTCCGTGTCAAATTTCTTTCCTTATTTTTGAATAACGTGAATGTCAGCTTGACAGTAGCGGTGTCTTGGGGGATTTGGATTTCATCTTTCTTGAGGAAGAGGCTTGAGAGTGGACAGAGCAAAAATTAGCAGAAATCAGAAACCTGGGCAGGCTGACTTTTCATGTAGGTTACTTCAGAGCCTAAGTGGTCTGCACCTAGGTTGCTTTTCACGCGTTCAGAATGTGTCTTTGTCAGAGGGCTGTTTGTGGTTCTGACCCTTTCCCTGATCATAGCAAAACCGAGCAGTGCCACCACCTTTTCTCTAGCCAAAAAAAGTACCTAAAGGAATCATACTATTTGCCTGGATCAAATAATTCTTCCCCAATGAGGAAGTCACTAGTTGTATTAGATCTGATTGTTTCATAACCAGGAGGCTAAAAAAAATGCTATCAATTTTCCACAAACAAACAAACAAACAAACAAAAAACCCAACAGCAAAAAATGTTATTAGAAGGCTAGATTTTCGTCCTTTAATTATTACTCTGGAGTATAAGTGGCAAATGGCTTTTACCATCGCCACCTTTTGCCGAGCCTCAGGAAGTCACTGTAAATTCCAGTATATTTTGCTGTTGTCTTTGGACTTAAATCCCAGAGGCTCTTGGGATGTAAGTGCTTCAGCCAGGTTCCCTGGATCCCAGGGTGTTGACTCTGTCCTGAGGGGCTCAGGGGATCCCTCCTCACACACAGCCTCCAAAGGCTTCCTTCACACCCAGCTCCCTGTCTGTTTACTTCTGCCTGGGAGGGAGTGGCCTTGGAGGCAGGCAACTCCTATTTATTTTTGCAACCGCAGGATGATATGGGGTGCTTCAACGCAGACTATTTCTGTGACCTTCATCGAGCCAAGAGCCCCATTGTGGGGAGTAGCTCTGATCAAACCATGGTCATTGCTGGTACAAAACAATTGCTCAGGTCACCCTACGTGATCAGCTCTTCCAAGGCAGTGACCTTTCTTCCTTTTCATTTTCCTTTTTCTTTTTCCTCTATGTTGTGTCCTTGGGAGTGACTAATCTACATTTCACTGGGGGATAGGGCTATCAGCAATGTTGGGTCACACAGGTGTGACCCCCCTAACTCTCCAACACTCTGGGTGAATTTCTTCTTTTCTTCCTAAATTGCCCCTCCAGCTGAGTCTGAAACACCCATGCTCACCCCCAGCTGCCAAGACCTTGTCCTGAAGCCAGATGCAGAGAAAAGAGCCCCAGGGTGGCTTCCTTAAGCTTCACATGCACCTCACAGTCCATTAGCAGTTCTAAGAGATGCCTCAGAAGTACTGAGAGGGGATTATTAAACACCAGCAAGAGGCTGGTATTTGGGGTGGCAGATGGAAAACTGATAGAACAGAAAGTCTAGAAACAATGAGTTCTCTGTTTCCCTTCCTTTGCCCCCACCTTCTTCATGTATCACAGTCTTTTTCTACCCCAAGGGTTTCCTTCATTTTCACTTACAAAATGCTCTTAGCTTCTGGGGCTGTTTGAGCCCTTTGGGTGGCTTTATACCTTAACTGACTGTTTTTCCTCTGTCAAACTTTCTGAGAGAATCATCTGCACCTCTCAGCTTCCCTGGGTCCTACCTAACACTCAGGCCACCTCACCTCTGCTTTTCAGTCTTGATCATGGGCAGCAATACTCTGAGAAGCGGTTTCAATGCACAGTGGCTGGATGTCACTTGCAGAACTTTGCATTTAGGAGGTTTGGGGTGGAGGGGCTCCCTGTCTTTTTCTGTGTCTACAAAGGTGCTGTGACAAGGTTTAAAATGGCAACCTCGGTTCCCTTTGTACGAACTGGCTTCCAGCTTCCAGCAGCTTCCTCCGCAGCTGCTGGTCTCTGTCGAGCTACCCAGGTCCTTCTGCACTCCTCTGCAGGCTTCACTCGTTGAACATCTCATTCCTTGGCTTTCCCCATGTGCCCTGTCCTCTCTGCCTGTCAGGACCATTTGGGTGCTGACATTTTGATGTTTGCCATCTTGGTATTCTTTCTGAAAGGGAATAGTTTTGCTTGGGTCTTTTATCTTTGTTCTGTGAGGACCACATTACTTTAGAAAAAAATTAAAATGGGGCAATACTCAGTAGTTGATGCCTGTCTTGCTTGCATGAGGCCCTGAGTTGGATCCACTACATTGCTCTACATCACTGTGATGCCCGCACTGCAGGAAGTGATGGCCCTAAAGTAACCAGAAAGTATGTAGCCCCTTGACTTCTAGACACCACTCCCATTGTAACAGCAAAAAAAGAAAAATGTTAAAAATATACAAAGAGTAAAACAAAAATTCATAATCCCAGCACTGGAGAAAGACATTATATTTTGGTGGAAAAGAGAGTTCAGTAGTCAGGCGGCTTGAGCTGGAATTACCTCCTGCCCTTAACCAAGAACCACAGGGTTTAACCCTGGAGGTCCCCATCTCCCCTCACCCCAAACCACTCTCTATAAAATACAATCCTAAACCATATGTCTTCCTTTTTTTAAACTTTATTTTTATATTTCACCCCACGGTCACGGTCTTATATATCACAGTCCTCCCGTTGTTCATCGATTTGCTCGAGCGGGCCCAGTAACGTCTCCATCGTGAGACTTCTTGTTACTGTGTTTGGCATCTCGAATACGTCACAGGGAGCTTGCCAGGCTTTGCCATGCGGGCGAGATACTCTCGGTAGCTTGCCGGGCTCTCCAAGAGGGGTGGCCATGTTGGCTGCGTGCAAGGCAAATGCCCTACCACTGTGCTATGAATAACAGTCATTCATTGTTGGGTTTTTGACATACAATGTTTCACCACCAATCCCACCTCCAGGGTCAACTTCCCTCTACCAGTGTCACCAGATTTCCTTTCCTACCTACCCACTCCAACCCCAGCCTGATGTCTTGACAGGCAGCTTTTAAAATTTGGCTATTAGAGGGCTGGAAAGATAGCACAGCGGGTAGGGCATTTGCTTTGCACACAGCTGACCTGGGTTCAATTCCCAGCATCCCATATGGTCCTCTGAGCACCGCCAGGAGTAACTCCTGAGTGCAGAGCCAGGAGTAACCCCTGTGTATCGCCGGGTGTGACCCAGAAAGGAAAAAAAAAAGAAATTTGGCTATTAATGTTTGGGTGTCCTGAATTCAGTGTTGTTGACTCCATGGTTTGAATATTTAGCTCCATCATTCCTTAACACCACCAATGGCTTCCTGCTTTTAACTAGTCAGAGGTGACCCTTATTAAGAGGTCAGTGCACATGTATTCTTTCTACTGTGTATACATACACAGCTCTAAATGAATAGACATATATTTTTTAAATGGCAATAGAATTTCTGTGGTTTATCATTTTGTTAAGCTCAGTGCAGTTAGACAGTCCAGGTTACTAGCTGTAGACTTAGCCCATTCTTTTTTGCGGGGTGTGGAGCTCCCAAAAGTTGCCCAGAGGAGGGCACTCGGGTAGTGAATACAACAAGCTTGTCCCTTAACCTCTGTACTCTCTCTCTTTCTCTCTCTCTCTCTCTCTCTCTCTCTCTCTCTCTCTCTCTCTCTCTCTCTCTCTCTCTCTCTCTCTTTCTCCTCTTTCTCCGTTTTGAAATGACTGCTTGGTTTGCAGTTTGTTTCACCATGCTTCCAATTGCTAGATCTTTAGTTATTTCAATTTTTTATTGTAAAAAATCACTACCATGATTTTCTTAGTATGTACCTTAAGTTAGGTCTAACTTAGTATCTTAAGATACTTAGAAACAGCACTGTGGGGCTAAAAAGAATGATATATAAAACTCTGCTTGCTTCCAAATTGCTCTCAAAAAGCTATTGAACAAAAAAGTCCTAAAAGTAAATTGAGTAATAGGAAAGGAACATTTAGAATTTTCCTATGGGCCTCCAAATTCTTCTCAAAATACTTATCCACTACTAGAAAGAATGTTTCTTTACCTTCTTATCAGCACTGAATTTTAGTAATCTACTTTTTCTAGTCTAATAATCAAAATATGGAGTCTTACAGTTGTAGTTCACAGCGACCTAAGTTCTTGTGAAGTTGGGTTTATATGGTTATTTTTATTTAAAAATCTTCTCTTATGGTATGGATGTTCAACCTTATTTTTTAATATCTTTGGTATGTTGGCATTTTTAAATTTCATTTTTGAATCCTCTACTAGTTTCATATTAATAGTACTTTATTAAATTTATTATAGACATTCTTCTTATTTTTTACTTTAATTTTATTTACGAGCTACTTTACTGCATGAAGGTTTTTAATTTTCAACTAGTCAAACATGTCAATTGTAATTAATTAAGGTTCTGGGTTATTTGTCTTTCTTTTTTGCTTATAATAATGTTAACAGTTTCTAAAAATAGATGCTTAATTATCTTAGGATTGTTTTAAAATATTTTATGAGGCAAAAATTAAGTTTTCTCTTTTTACAT